CAGAAAGGAAAAGTATACGACCTCCGCTGTGACCCGGTCAGCCCAGGAAAAATCCTACTACAGCAAACAGGAAGTACGCAGATTAATGAACAAAAAACAACAAAAAAAGCTCAAGTTCTCCTCAAAATGAAACCTGCAACAGAGTTGGACCGCCCCGAGGCTGTCGTAATGTAAAGATGGAGGATTGAGACGCGGAGCGGAGAGACGTGAACCAGCAGGACGGAGGAGATTCTGTTAAAGACGAACAAATCATGTTTGCTGCAGCAGAACCAGAAACGAGAAAATCATTTTCCTCACAAGGAGAAACGTCTCTGTTACATTTATACTTAAATGTACATTTATACTTAAATATATTTATATTGTTGAAGGAAAGAGACGCATTTCAGGAATCAATAAAAAATATTTCCATAAAACAAGCATCTCACATTATTTTATTTTGTCATTTATTGTTTTTAATTCTGTCACAGAAGCAGCAATAGTGAAACAAGGTTTCCGTGGGTCATTAAAAGTTTATTAAATTTTTTTTTTTTTAAGGCCTTAATTAGCATTAAAATTTATTAAACGTGATTATTGTGACATTTAAATATTTTTTTTTTTTTTACTTTATAGATTTTTTACAGGTATACAACAAAAACATGACAATGATTAATGTCCTTTAGTGAGTCCTTTAGCATTTGTCACACAAAAAAAAAAACATTAGACAAACAAATAATATTATATAAAAATAATTTGTTCATTTACTTTATGGAGTTTCAACCAGTCAGTTAGAATTTTTTTTATTTATTTATTTATTTTTTTTATTGAATATATAAGAAAACAATAACAATCTCAAATAACAAGTCAATAACAAATATTTCAATACAAGAAGAAATATCACAACTCCTGCTTTTGAAAAATACAATTAAATGCACAGGCTGGAACAAAGTATAAAATAAAATAATAATAGTAGTTAAAGTAAATTAATCAGTGGGGACTACCAACTGAAATTCTTCAATTAACTCAAACAATTTAATTGCATTTAAATTCTGCATCTTTCTCAGACATCTTTTGAAAAGGGAAAGTTCATTTTTGAGAGCAGAGATTGAGAGGGAGCATTTTGCATAGCGACATTTATGGATATAATACTTTGTTACAATTATTAGAATATTGATTAAAAATTCAAAATTTTTTTCTTTAATGGATAAACCGAATTGAATGTTTTGCCAGGAAATAAAATCTAAATTTATTGTTTTAGAAGACAGAAAGTTTTGAAGTTGATCCCATAAGTTTAATACTTCTTTACATTCATAAAAAAGATGTTTAGTTGTTTCCAATTGAGTCCAGTCAGTTAGAAATGTCCACACCTGTATTCATAACAAATGGGGTAAAGACATTTTAAATTCTATATAAAAAAAAGTTTCTAAAAACAATTTCGTCGGATATATCGGATATAACTGGTTCCGTGTGTTTCTGGTTGATCATATATGGAAGTAAAACAGTCTCATTAAAATCTGCCTTTTTTTAAACATTGAATTTTTTTACCCTGAATTTTTATCTGGTGAAAATTCAGCTGCATAAAATTCTTCTAACAACGTGTCGATCTTCTGGTGAATTCAGGCCAAAGCAATCGACACTCGATGCAGTCGAGCCGCTTCCAGCCAATGAAATGAGCTCATTAGCTCACCCAGTCTGATCAGATGAAGAACTCTAATGGCCGTCTATCGGTAGCTACCTGATGTTTTGGAATCAGATCTATTTAACAAGAAAAACTCCTCAGTTTCATTCATCCAGGAACAAATGAGCTCATTTCATTGGCTGATTGCAACAAGGTCAACTCATTTGCAGGTCTTTTTTTATTTACCAGATATAAATTCAGTGCGTAAAAAAATCTGTTTTGTTCAAAATTTGTTGTTAAAAAAATTCAGTGTTGTTTAAAATGGATGTATAAAAGAAGGCAGATTCCAATTAGAAAGTTGTTCTTCCGTAATTGTAAAGCCGTATGTTCGGAAAAGAAGCTCGAGGCGCAGAAAAGGATGGAGAATGGAACAAAATTACATTTTGTTGAAATGTAATTTCAACAAAAGTGGCTGAAAAACAAGGAATTTTAAGAGATTTCGGGTAAAGATGACGAAGGATTTTGCTGTGTATATATATATACACATACATATACAAGGAGCAACGATGCGTTTCTATTGGTCTGCATGTTAGCAACATTTTTAGAGACTTTTAAAAGGCAGTTTGTTAGTCTGAAAAATAAATCCAATCTGAAAAATAAATTTGATGAAAAATTATGAAAATATAAATTCTATAGAAAGAGATTAAACTTGAAATAACAAAATACAGTATTAAAATAAATTTTTTATTTAAATAGTTTTTATTTCTGCATTGCATTTTTTTTTATTTTCCATTCATGTTTTCTTCTAACAAAGAAGATTCTGTCTTCAGAAATTCTGTTGGAGAGAAAACGGTCCTGGACCATGAAGGCAACCATGTCTGAAATACCCAGACTGGACTTACAGGAAGGAAACTAGAATAAAACAGTTCTGGATTCAAGCAGAAGCACAGAAAGTTTAGTAGGAGGAAAAAATTAATCTTGAAGGTCATGTTTGATGCATTGAAGAGCTGGACTCCTGCTGTGACCTTTGACCTGGGCCAACATGAACCAAACTTCTCTCTTTGGATGATTTCTCCTAGAAATCAGATTCCAGAGGAGGCACAGAATCTAACATGCTGGAGGTCCAGTGTGACAGGGGCCAACAGGGGCCAGTGGTCCTGTAGAACTGGATCTGAACCCTGAGAGTATGATAAATGCTGGCAAATGAACCGTAACCATCCATTTTTACAATTTTACTTCATTAATGAATTAAAAGTTTAGGAGTTTAAATGCTGATCAGGGATCTGCAGCCTGAACTGATCCCTCAGTGCAGCCATGGACCAGCTTCAGGCCACATCCAGCGGCTTTTTACCGCCCAGCTTCATGAAGATGCTGATTTAATTTTCCGTTTGGTCTTGGCTCCATCCCATCCTGCCAAAGGTACCAGAAGCCGGTCCGGTTGGTACCTCAGCAGAACCACAGGCGGTCCTCCTCCTTGCTACGCTGCTGCGATGCAGACATCCAGGCAAACAAAGTCATGAATGAAACGTCTTTACGTCAAAAAGCCTTTTAATGGTTCTCCTCCTGCAGGTAAGGACCTACATAGTTTGTATCTGCAGCGTCTCAATCTTTAACAGAGGCGTCAAATTATTCATGTTTATTACTCCTTACTAAAAATCCTACTGCTTTAAACGCCTTAATAGAAGTCAGAGGATCTACCTTTCTTTTTTACTCCAGTGAAAGTGTTTTAAAACTACTTCAAGTATAAAAGTAAAAGTAATGCAGGAAAAAATGTTAAGAATGGAAGCTTTACTGCTCTACTCTATTAAAGGAAAATTTTTCTACCATTCTGGATGAAAACTTCCTTAGACTTAATTTTCTTAGTTTTATAACTAATGGTAAAAGTGTCAAATTTAACTTTGCATCATCTGCAAAAAAACTATTTTGGTATTTGGTGAGCAACAAGTCGGGGCAGCACCGTGTCCAACCACAAAGAAATGAATTATCTGAATTAAACTATTTATTTTGATGGTTATTTACTCTTTATTTTTTAAATACCAACAGGGCATAATGAAAATGAGCTTAAAAACAAACAAACAACTAATTAGTCAGTTTTTAAAATATATCCCTTTATAGGGCACTCAGTGAAATACATTGAAAATCAAAATTTCAACACTGGATAAAGGATCTAGAAATAAGTAAAATGTCTTAAATGAAGTGTATTTATCCTTAATTTGAGCAGATAAATGAGATAGTTTGCCAGTGGAATTAGTATTTTTAATATTCAATAATATGCAGTTGAAATAAGACATGCAATGTTTTTATTTTATTTTTTATTTTAAGTGTAAATTGTCTTCCGTTGGCAAAATGTCTCTTTTATCTCCTCAATTCAACAACAAATTCACTTATTTTAAGAAAAATGACTCATCTAGATTTAAATTTTTTCCAGTGGAGCCAATAGTGTTATTGGAATCCTGAACAAGACCTTATTATCTTTGTAACAATATGGATATTTTTAATGGCGAAAATTTATCTCAATGTAATAAGAAACTATATATATTAAGAAAATTTATATTAAGAATAATAACAAAACATATTAATGAAAAAAATTCATGCTGATACTGGCACTTAATTTTTTTATTTATAAACCTAAATATAATTGTTAACTAGACTTGTTAACTTTTGAACTTTGCTTTTTAACTTTTCAATTAGCCTTTGTTTCTGGACTCGTTAACTATTTTTCTTCTTAATGTCCAGGTAGGGGGGGGGGGGGGGGGGGGGTACTCTAACCTGACTCCGCCAAATGGATTTGCTCCGCATATTAGCGAGTGAAATCTTGAAAGCTCGCAAGATCAGGATGGTCTCGCGAGGCTAGGGGTACTCCATTTGTGAGATGTATGCTGGTGTCCAAAAACGCTAACTTGTCCAATCGGTCTGCGCCAGGTGACGTCAATGTTTACCTCGGGCGCGGTGCATCGTGGGAAAACCACCATATTAGGTGGAAAGTCGAGATACTGTTCTTTCGGCATAATTATTTACCAGAAATGACACGATCGTGTTGTGTGAGAGGCTGCCAGTCCCGGTGTCGTGCCAAGGTAGTTATCCCTGCGAAAATTTGTATCCCCTCGTCGGGAGCGCGCACGGAGTAGGAAGAACAACCCGAGTTAACTCCGCTTCAATTCCAACGTGCAGAACTTGAAATTTGAAAGGTTTTACGTGTATGAAAGTTGAGCTTTACTGTTTTATTCTTTACTTCACGTGTTTTAGCAGAATATCGCCAGTGATATTGATCTAAAACTAATAATAAAACACAAACGTTTGCTTGAAAGCTGGTCGCTGACAGCAGTGTCTACTCCTCCCTCTGAAAGCAAACAGCTCCTTATTCTTTTCCACACGTTCATTAAAAAAAACTCTCATTGTTTCACAG